GCAGCCTATTTAGTCTTGAGAGAGCCAATAGGACCCAGACATCAGCCCAGGAAGCCACTGGACAAACTGCCTGTTTTACTTGGACATCAAGAAGGACTGTGGCCGAAACCGGATTGGCTCAGTGGTAGAGCGTCGGTCTGCAGACTGAAGGGTCCCGGGTTCGATTCTGGTCAAGGGCATGTACATTGGTTGCGGGCACATCCCCAGTGGGGGGTGTGCAAGAGGCAGCTGGTCGATGTTTCTCTCTCATCGACATTTCTAGCTCTCTATCCCTCTTTCCTTCTCCCTATAAAAAATCAATAATATATATATATAAAAGGACTGTGGTCCTCGGAAGGAACACGTACTGGGGGAATGCAGCTGTTGAACTGGTCCAAAGTGGAACAACTGGCCTTTGAGGAGCTAAAGAAGGCTCTCATCTCAGCAGCTGCCCTAGCTTTGCCAGACATTGCAAAGCCCTTCCACCTCTACGTGAGTGAGGTAAGAGGCATTGCCAAAGGGGTTCTCACTCAGACTCTAGGTCCCTGGAAGAGACCTGTTGCCTATCTGTCTAAGAGACTGGACCCTGTGGCAGCAAGGTGGCCAGTGTGCTTCCAGGCAGTGGCCACCTCAGCATTGCTGGTGAAGGAGGCAGATAAGCAGACTCTGGGCCAGGAGCTAACCTGGCTGGGCCAGGCTTTTCTCCTGGACCAGCCCTGTGTCCGGATTCATAAGACTCTGCCCATCAACCCTGCCAGCCTGCTTCCAGATGATGATGGAGGAACCCATTCAAGGTACTGTTCACGGATGGAAGCAGTTATATTCAGGATGAGACCTGATATGCAGGGGCAGTGGTAGTTACCCTGGACCACACCATTTGGGCACAGTTCCAGAACTTTTGGCCTTAATCCAGGCCCTTTGATGGAGACACCGCCATCCACAGAGAAAAGAGGGTTACCAACTACAGGCAGAAGGAACCGACTGAACAGAAGCAAGCCACTGAAGGACCAGATGATTGGTGGACCTTCCAGATGACAAGACTGTTGGTCCCAGAGGCTCTAGGTCAGAGTTGCCCAGTGACACCAGATTACTCACTTAAGTATCACCAAAACTTCTGAACTTCTGTGAGGCAGAGTTTCTAGAAGTACTGTCTGTGCACAGGTAAATGCTAAGCAAGGTAAGGGGGTCCCCCTGGGAATTCGGGACCCAGGGAACTTCTCCAAGAGAGCATTGGTAGGTGGATTTCAGAGATTAAACCACCAGCATTAAGGTCTAGTTTTTATAGACACTTCAGATTAGGTTGAAGTATACCCCACTAAGACAAAAACTGTCTCTATAGTAGTCAAGAGATTACTCCAGGAGATTATACCTAGATTCCGGCTGCCAGTATCAGATATCAGCCCCACCTTGGTAGCTAAGGTATCTCAGAGTATAGCTCTAGCCTTAGGACAGGTAAAGTGAGACTCTGGAAAAGGGGTTTAACTAAATGTGTCCTAGAATCAGTGAAAATTGGACCAACCCCCTGTCCTTTGCCCTCTTGAGGGTCAGGTGTACCCCTTACTGGGACAAGTTTCCCCTTTTTTTGGGAGGGGATCATGTATGGTAACCATTCCCTTGCTCAAGTCCTTACAGACTCTGCAGTTTGCTTGTTCCAGATGTACTGCCAGTGCCCACCGCAGACCCTGTAGCCCCGGAACTCAATGTGGGTAAAGAAATTCACTGCCCAAGAACTCAAAGGGATGCTGCACTGTTATCCTGAGCACGCCCACTGCTGTTGAAGTAGATGGCACCCAGACCTGACTACATGACTCCCAGCTCCTGCATGGCCTGGATCCTGGCAACTACAGGCCAGGAGGAGAACTGATGCCTGCAGGAGGGGAACTGGACTTCAGTGAGGACAATATTGATGGGAACTGTGGTACTAAGGGTCTTGGTAACTGTATTTGTTGTTTATGCTGAAAGGAAGTAGGCTGAGTCAATGATTTGACTAGGCATATTAGACAAGGGGCGGGGGAATGAGAGGGCAGGGCGGGGCGAGGATGAGCTCCCGACTCCACTGTGGGGCAGGGCGGAGTTATCCCTAGCCCTCACCAACCAATCAGGGTTAGCCGAGGCAGTGACATCACCACCGACCGGAGTAAATCCCCTGGACTGGGCGAAATTCACTCTCTTTTGTTTATTGCATCGGACTCGGCTCCCTGGTGGTCCTTGGGAATCACGAAGTCTAGGCGTAACACTAACCAACCTACAGAAGCCTAAAGAATGTCATTTCTTACAGATATAGTACTTTGCAAAAACAACCCTGAGTCTCCAGAATTAGAGCCATTGTCAAAATCCCTGCCCTAACAGATCCCATGTATTAAAATTGGATCACTAATCAGGACCCTGAGAATTGAATTAAATAGGAATATGATTGCAAAAGAGGGCAGTTTCTTACCTTGGAAGGGAGCTGTTTCTTTCTTCCTAAAGACTTTTTTTCACTTTTGCTTGAGGGGGTTCAAGTTTATGGGAGAAAGCCAATTCCCCTTTTACCACTACAACTCTTTTGTTTCCAAACCCAGTTAGTTAAGAGCCCAGCATGCCTCCCCTGGAGTCCAAATCCGAATAAATCTAACAGGTAAAAAGAATTTGGGAACTTTTCCAAATTATATCTCCAAGAATTTCAGGAACATATGAAGGAATAGATTTTGAATGTGCTTTAATGATGCTCTTTCACAAGATAATTCTATATTCATTGAATTCAATAAGCTGCATGTGGCTTTAATAGTTTGCAAAATTGGAATCAACACAGGCCCACACTAAGCCAAGATGCCATGAGTCCTTAGTATAGTGTAGAGCGTTGGTTCTCAGACCTTCTTGTGTTTCAGAATCATGGGAGGGCTTTAGAAAAGTTACTGCAAGGCCTCACCCGGCAGTTTGTAATTCAGGAGGTTTGAGTCAAACCTGAAAATTTGCATTTCTAGAAAGTCCTCCATGATGGCGCTTCCCCTAACCTGGGACTGCACTCAGAACTGCTGCATAAAGGAAGTAAAATACTTTCAGACTCAGGAACTTTGGATTTGGGGGCTTGCCTATGTAAATCCCTATTACCTGGCCACCTAAGTGTCTTTCCGAAGATAAACTTTATCAAGGGCCATACACGTGCTGGTTTCAGAGCACCAATACAGTGTTTTAAATTTAAGGTTATTGAGGTATAATTTATGTAAGATGAGTGGATATCCTTGCCTAATGTTAGGGAAAAAGCATCTAGTATTTTTATCATTAAGTATTGTGTTAGTTGTATGGGTTTGTTTTGCTTTTTGCAGATGCCTTTTGTTGGCTTGATCCCTGTTTCTTGAGAATTTTTATCATGAGTGAATGTTGAATTGCGTTAAATGTTTTTTTTTTCTGCCCCTGTTGTTATAATTGTGTGTGTGTGTGTGTGTGTGTGTGTGTGTCTTTAGTCTGTTAATATGGCTTATTACCGTAGTGATTTTCAAATGCTGAGCCAGCCTTGCATTATCTGGTCAATTTGCATATTACCTCTTTATTATATAGGAAGGATGGTAACTTAGAAAATGGGAGATATTCAAAGACCTGTGAAAATATTATCAATTAATTTAAAAAGTATACAGGCTACTATATTTTTCATTTTATTAACAAGCTGGCTTGACAAGGATAGCATATCAGTGATTACTTTCCTGAAGCATTAAATATGTAGCTTTAAATCATTTTTACAAGTAAAAACAAAATTTTGTATTTGGCTCAATGAACATTTATTGAGGATATAATAAGGAATCAGACTATCCCTCCCCTCAAGATGCTCCTTGTCTGGTAATGGAAACAAACATTTCGAAGCCCTGAAAATGCTAGGATGTAAGGAAAGACAAAGAGCTGTGTGTGGGCTCTGTGAAACAGTGCGGCTGGACCAGGATAGGAACAGGGAAAATATTAAGGCTTCAGAGAGGAAGCAGCATTTCGGCAGAGACTTAGAAGTTTCAGTGTCCCAGGGAGGGCAGACAATGGAACAATGTGTAAAAGATAAAAGCATGTGGTGCTTTCAGGGACCAGACCAGACCGGGATGGGTGTAAGCCAGTAAGAAATGGATACCCTTTGACAGAAATAAGGAGTGAAGACTGGTGCTATAATATTACTTTATTTCCCGAATGACTACTTACTCCATTTTTACACTTCTTTAGAAACAATTTTATTTATAATCTGATTTTTCCAATTACCTTTTGTTGCATATAGAAATAATGTATCTGTCACAAATGAAACATATTAGGAAAAGTGAAAATAATGTGTTCTTTCAAGCACTTCTATTTTAAGGATTTTACATCTATTAAAAACTTTTACTATCAACAGTACCTAGATGGGCTCAAAAAACAAAGTATTACCTAAATAGAGGTAAAATTATAAATATTTAAAATTTCTATTATTTTTTATTGAAGGATTCATCATAATTTTTGATAGTTGTCCTTCAAAACCCTAGAAAGGTCAAAAGCCATTTTTCAGACAAAGAACGGAGGTCTCAGTGTGAGGTTATTGTATTTGATCATATCAAGTGTCTTAATCCCTCCTGACACTGTTAAGTTTCAGTTTCTTTTGTAAATCCCAAAAGAGCAAGTGCTTGCTGAAACCAGATTGGCATCAGCCTGCGGACTGAAAGGTCCGGGTTCCATTCGGTCAAGGGCATGTACATTGGTTGCGGGCACATCCCCAGTAGGGGGTGTGCAAGAGGCAGCTGATTGATGATTCTTTCTCATAGATATTTCTAAGCTCTCTATCCCTCTCTCTTTCTCTCTGTAAAAAATCAATAAAATATATTTTAAAAAAAGGGCAAGTGCTTTGAGATTTGTTCTCTGTACCGGAAACACATCACACGATGTTCATAAGTGCTTGAAGTACGCGACTCCTCTCCCTGCTCGGGCCAGAAGAAAGGACACAACCGCCGACTGTTCCTGAAGCACTGACTGAGCTGGGCAGTACGCCTCACAAGTCAGAGTACATGGCATGTGCATTGTTTTGAAATCACAATGAATCATGGGTCTGATGTGTCTTCACTGGTGTCTTCCTGGATAAGAAGTGCATTGTTTCTCTTGTTCCAACTGCTACACTTGACAATACTGTACAAGCAAACAGGACATTTAAAAATTGTGACTAAGGCAACACAAATAAATAGTCTGTATTTCACTTTTCCCTGGTTATGGGCTTCTGAGAAATTATAAGAATTATAATTATATGCAGATTATGCATAGAACGAACATACTGGTATTTTGAGTCCTACAGGCTCATTTCCATAACATTCTGAAAAGAATTTAAAACTACAAGAGTTCTGCCCTAGCCTGTTCAGCTCAATAGAAAGAGGGTCAGGCTTCAGATTGAAGGATCCCAGATTTGATTTCGGTCAAGGACACATATCTCGGTTGCAGGCTTGCAAAGGCAACCAATCTATATGTCTCTCTCACATCGATATTTCAATCTCTTTGTCTCTCTCCCTTCCATTTTCTCTCAAAATAAATTGAAAAGTATAATCAGGTCATGGATTAACAAAACACAAAAAAACTCCGAGTTCTTTCTCTTCCAGATCCCTAAAATGTGGACTTGGCCCATTGTCTGCTCTCTGTAGTCCACAAAAAATAATTATGACCCAAGCTATGATTGAAATGCATGCTCAGAAGCTATAAGTGAAGTAGGATAAGAAGCCATCTAGAAATAATTAAAATAGTATGCAATTTTCATTTTAAAATTGTTGAACAGTACAGGGTTAAAAAAATCTCAGAAGATCACCTACATTGACAATATTAGAAGCATTATTAAGAGAATAACTATCTTTTATCCAGCTGCACTGATTTTTCCAGTTAAAAAAGTAATGTGTTCATAACAGAATATTTATAAGTATATGAAGACTAAAATGAAAAGTACCCACTATTCTACTCCCCATGCAGGCAATTCTTACACTATTTTTCTTGATATGGATGCACCATCTTTAACCATTATTGTACACTTTACTTATTTTAAAAAAATTTCTCCCATATGAACTTCTTTACTAATCATTTCCTTGGGATATGCTTCTAAAAGGAATCACTGGGTCAGATATTAAGAACTTTTAATAAAACTTTTGATACATGTTTATGAATTGTTTTTTGAAAATAAGAGTGCCAAACAACATTACCAGCAATGTGTAAGGTTGGTTGTTTCATCATGCACTTTTAATTTTGCCAATTCAATAGGTGAATAATTTCTTTTTTAAAAAGATGCCTAGTAAAAATCACTTTTCAATTGCAGAGGAACTGTAAATACTACTTACACTCTGTCTTACACAGACCAAAGGTATCAGAACTTAATTGAGACAATATATATTGTGGTCCTACGATGAATGAGACATGGCCAGCCCTTTCAGGAGTTCACAGTCCAGGGAGATGCCTACAGCCTATGCACATAGGAGCTGTCCTCCTGTACCCACTGCCACCACCCACAGTGCTGAGGAGAAGGCAGTGATGCCTGAAGGCTGGGCCCCAAATTCTTCTCCTGAGGCCTCATGGCCACGCTATCACCACGTGGAATGGACCAAGCTCAGCAGAGACAGGTGAATGAGCTCAGAGCTCAAGGCTTTGGTCCCAAAGGATATGTCAAATATATCTTCTTGGAAATTTTTGCAATAGCTTACCTAATTAGCATATACTTTTTGTTAACTGAAAGGCATATGCTTATGCCTCTATCTTTTCATTCTGTGTACTAGTCATCAAAAGCATTTTTGTACTTTGTATTTATTTGGATACTGACAATTAAAAAGGGAGTCATCAAACAAAACAACTCTCTGGAAAGAGAATGCCTAACATTCAGTGCCTGCTATCTGTTCGTCATTATCCAAGAATCCAGATTAAAATATATCTTCTTACAGTAATCTTTGATCACCAGGGGACATTACACTCTAGGGAATCATAGTCTGAATATATATCTATGCCTAGTCTGAGATGCTAATTTGGTCAATTATTCATATTTAAAGAGATAGGACCAAATTCTCAGAGTCTAACCCAATCTTTCTTTCTTCTAGTTCTGGTCCAGCTATGTCACTGTCTCTTTTTTCCTAAGTCTCCAGAATTATTGACATCTGTCTAAATTGTTTGAGAAATGTACATTTTGAGGCCAAACTTCAACAGATCTATGTATTTTTACTGGCAAGGCTACAGACCAATGTAGTTATACTGGTGAGGCAATGGAATTTATTTAATTTAATTATTCTTTGATAAAATGATTAAAAATAAGTACATACCATAGACTGATCATTGGAATTAGTAATAGACCAGCAGACAGCAGAAAGATGAAGCCTGTGTACCATGCAACAGTTGCTGAATAAATTCCATTAAAAGTAGAAACTGCAATGACTCCACCAAGTGTTTCAAAGAAAGCAATACAAGCAAACAGAGTCCCTGTTTGGGGGTCGGGTGCAGGGGAAGAAAAAAAGAAAAGACTGAGTTACACAACAAACAAAACGAATGGAGAAAACTGTTAGTCATTTGATAAGAACAAACATGAGGGCACTACTTGGTGAGTGAAACTATCCCCTCAAAATCCCTGAGGACAGTAACCCATTTTGTGGATGAAGAAAGTGAGGTCAAGAATTCTCCTTGGACTTGATGTGAGAAATGTTAGAAACATAATACAGTTGCCCCTGAACAATACTGGGATTAAGGGCACTCTCCCTCCTACCCCTGCAGTCGAAAACTTAACTACAGCTGTCTCTTGGTATCCGCATACCATTGGGTCCCAGACCCCTGTAGATACCAAAATCCATGGGTGTTCAAGTCCCTTACATGCAGAGGCCTAAAACAATGCAAAGTAGTTCCAATGACAATAGGATAAAACTAAAAGTTATCACAATTCGGAACAGGAAATTCTAAAATGTAAACTAAACATTTTAAAATGTCACTAGATTTAACAATAAGAATGACTTATTAAGCCGAAACCGGTTTGGCTCAGTGATAGAGCGTCAGTCTGTGGACTGAAAGGTCCCAAGTTCCATTCCGGTCAAGGGCATGTACCTTGGTTGTGGGCACATCCCCAGTAGGGGGTGTGCAAGAGATGGCCGATCGATGATTCTCTCTCATCGATGTTTCTAGCTCTCTATCCCTCTCTCTTCCTCTCTGTAAAAAATCAATAAGATATATTTTAAAAAGAAAAAGAAAAAAAAAAGAAATGACTTTTTAAAGGCCTTTATAAGTAAATGGAATAAAATATAAACAAAATAAACTATGCATCCTGATAAGTCTATTTGGCTCTAACTCAAGCAAGTAAACTTTTCTTTACCTCCTCAAACAGCTTGATATATAATGCTCTGCTTGCCCTGTTTGTACCATAAACCCACCCTTTTAAACTGTACAGTTTAGTAGCTTTTAGTGTGTTCGTGGAGTTGAGCAACCATCACTACTACCTAATTTTAGAACATTTTCCTCACTCCAAAAAGAAACTGTACCCATTAACAATCACTCCCTTTTCCCCAGGCCCCTGGAAACACTAATCTAAATTCTATCTCTATGGATTTGCCTTTCCTGAACATTTCATATAAAGGCAATCATATTTATATGATAATATGTGGCCTTTGTGACTAGCTTTTTTCATTTAGCATGATTTGAAGGCTCATCCATGTTGTAGCATGTGTCAGTACTTTATTTCTTTTTGTCCTATATATCATAATAAAGATGTAATATGCAAATTGACAGTCATGCCATTACAAGATGGCTGCCTATGACCAGGCTGGCAGGGGGTTAGTGAGGAATGACCAAACGACTGAACAAGCAGGTGTGTGGGGTGACCAGGCTGACGGGGACCATGAGGGGCAACCAGGCCAGCAGAAGGATCAGCTGAGGGTGACCAGGCTGGCAGGGTGGGAGGCAGTAGGAGGTGACCAGGCCAGCAGAGGGGCACTTAGGAGTGACCACGCCAGCAGGGAGGGGACAAGTTAGGGGCGATCAGGCAGGCAGGCAGGTGAGCGATTAGGAGCCAGCAGTCCAGGATTGAGAGAGGGATGTCCAACTGCGGGTTTAAGGCCTAAATCGCAGTTGGACATCCCTCGAGGGGTCCTAGATTGGAGAGGGTGCAGGCTAAGCTGAGGGGGGACCTCCCCTCCCCATGCATGAATTTCGTGCACTGGACCTTTAGTTGCCAAATAATATTCCATTGTATTGATATACCACATTTTGCTTATTTATTCATCAGTCCCTGTCTCCCTTGTCTGAATAGAAGCCTCTCCCTGACACAGAACTTACCACTTAATTCAAAAGGAATCTGTGCAGTCCTGGCTGGTTTGCTCAATGGATAGAGCATTGGCCTCTGGACTGAAGGGTCCTGGGTTCGATTCTGGTCAAAGGCACATACCTCAATTGCAGGCTTGATCCCCAGCCCTAGTTGGGGCGTATGCCAGAGGCAGCCAATCGATGTGTCTCTCTCACATGGATGTTTCTCCCTCTTTGTCTTTCCCCTTCCCTTCCACTCTCTCTAAAAAAAAAAAAATCAATGGGGGGAAAAATATCCTCACATAAGGATAGCCACACACACACACACACACACACACACACACACACACACACACAAAAGGAGTCCACAGAAAAAGGGCTATAGAATACTCTGAAGAAGCAAAAAAAAAAAAAAAAAAAAATATATATATATATATATATATATATATATATATATATATATCCTCACATAAAGATTAGCCACACACACACACACAGACACACACACACACACACACACAAAACAAAGGGGTCCACAGAAAAAGGGCTACAGAATACTCAACTGTGCATAAGAGTTGAGCTGGGATAGGTTTTGATTACTTATATTCCAAATTAAACTCACCTTGTTCAGTAGAATGAACCACTTTTGACATCATGGACCGTAAAACAGAAAGTGGCACAATAGTGAAGAGGAAGAGCAGCCTGACTGTGAGAGAAATGGTTAGAAATCAGAAAACTAGTGGTCAATTTTATGTAAAACACTTTCTAAGTATTTTATTTCTATTAGCATCCTAAGTCATTGCATCTAAAGATTGAATGAATTATAGAATTCTACTTAGTGAATTAAGAGACTATAGACAGGTCAGTTTAAGGTGAGTTTACTCTCAAATTCTTAATTCCAGTGCAAAGAACAAGAGTTCATGGAAGTCTTAGGTTCAGATATGCCAATGGGAATTAATCTGCTATTTCCCTAATTATTGTAGTAATCTCTTGTGTAGCAAGTTGAGACTGTTAATTAGTTTTTTCACTTCGCTTTATGTTTTTTAGACTTGGCATTTTTAGTGTTAGCATTATTTTATTATATTGTTCATTTTATTGATAAATTGGTTCTTTATCTTCTTGCTTGTTCATCATTGTGGCTGAAAAACTTCATGGACACAAATTGTATCTGGCCATAAATTATGACCCTTAATAGTCAGTAGTATTTTTAGGAATATGATAAAATAGTTATGTGTTACATTTGCAGATCACTTTAAAGTTTTCAACATATTTCCACATAGATAAACTAACAGCCTTGTCAACTCTAAGGGAGAAATAGGATTTATTAAATATCAGGCATTGTGCTGAATACTTTACTGTAATCTCTTCTAATATTCATTATAATACTTTAAAATCACTATGTCCATTTTACAGGTGAAAAAATGGGGGCTTAGAGTTTTTAATTAACTTGCCCAAGATCACCTATTGTTGGAGATGGAAATCAAGCCCCAATCTGTTTGGTCACTTTGCTTCCCAAGAGGATGACACTGCCTTCTGTAGAGGAAGATAGACTATATCTTTTTAAGGTCCAACTTGCAGGTCCTTTAGTCAATTGGATGCAGTATCTCACTCAAGCCCTACAAAAACCACTTATGAAATAGGTAATTAGAAAGCAGTCCAATTTGCCAAAAGTGGTTCATCAAAAACTAGTTTATGAAATGACCAATTTGTCAAAAGATCAATATGCAAACCCTTGTCATAGAGAATTATTTTTCTCAAGTGTATTCTGTGAGTATGAATTTTACTTTTAAATCTGTATACTTGACATAATTGTCCTAACATTTTTTAAAGGTAAAATAGCTTTGTTAGCGGCATTTTAAAAAATACTAAATTGGTGAAAGTTATATTGAAGAATTGAGTCATAAGAAGAGTGTTCCTTAGAACAATTTTTTTGAAAATATGCAAATTTAGAAAATTGTGGTTACTATATGAATTACTTTTTCAAAGCAAATTGGTACTCAGCTTTTGGAAAACTAGCTTTTAAAAAATTACCATTAATTGAAGTAGAATGCATTAAACAGAGAATTTTATATTAAAGTTTCTCACCAACCTAACAGACTAAATACATTTGACATAAACCCCAAATACAGTTAGTCCTAAGGCTATACTTTTAACTCACCTAAAAGCATCATCAATGTTGTTCTGGCAAAAGCAGTCATAGCCATTCCCACCATGGTGGTAAAAATTCCAATGAAAGCCATGTAGATATCTTCCATGCAGTAAGAAAATAACCATATTCCCAGGAAACTACTCAAAAAAGAGACACTACCCAAAGCTGACCCATAACCTATAAGAACTTCATTCCAGCAGAGTGGTGAGTCCAATTCATAGAGGATAAAAATGGGGGAAGTGCCAATTATCACAAAAAAATAAGTAATCATTGTGAAAAGTAACAAACAGAGTAAGGATCGCCGCCCACTGGAAGCATTTTTAAAAAGCATGTAAGTTCGGTAAAATAGGTTTTTAATGCCTTCACTACATGATATGGAAACATTCTGAGATAAAGATTCTGCCATTGAATCACCAAGAAAAAATAAAATATAAATCAAGTTAACAGCAAGAGCCATAGTAATAATGAAAAAGGACCACACAAAACCTAGTTCTCTAATAAAATAGCCAGAAGACAGCCCTGTTAATCCAGTAACAAGTCCAAGTATGAAGTCAATGATAGCTATTCGAATTGTTCTTTGTTTTTCTTCTTTACATTGATCAACTATGTAGGCGAAACTGGCACCCAAAAATGTGGTAGAATTGCCGAAAAGGGCCCCAATGAACGTAGATGCAATCAAAAGCTGGAACGGAAAGGTGAAATAGGAAAGCAGACAGAGCCAGGCGCTGGTCACAAGAGCACCGGCAGAAGTCAAAATCAAAGGGAATTTCCGTCCACGATGATCACTGTAGGACAGAAGTATGAACGTGGACACTAGACCAGGAATTAACCCACTTATGTCCATCTGCAGATTAAAAAGAGACACTTTCTTCTGAACTTCCTGCAAAGAAATAAAAAGAAGTCAGTGTGTTTACAGAGGTTTGTATAATGCATATAAAAATAGCATGGTGTATACTACACATTGTCATAAGGTCAGGTATGGGGAATCTGGGGTGTGGGCTTACACAGCTAAAATCTTCATCAGTTCACAAAGCACATGTCAAAAGGTGATATCATCATTGCTCAGTCATACATTCAAACTTCATGGTGGGGACTTTAACCAATAAAAATAAAAATGTGTGTATTAATGTGTCTTTGTCTCACATAGGAGACCCATAGACTGCAAGGCCGTGAGGACTGGCCATGTAATGAGTTTTCCTTCTTGTATGAACAGTTAGCACTGAGAGATCAGATTTCCATTCTAACACCAGAGCAATATACTTTTCTGTGACATATCTTTCTCTCTGCTTTAAAGGGAGAATGAAAATCATGTGTAAATCTGATATTTCATAGGCCTTATGTAGGAAGAGCTTCAATGCCCTTTTTACATGTGTCTCCACAAATAGAAACATTCCTTTCTTTACTAAAAATTAAGATAAAACCCAAAAAGAAGCTTTGCACTAACTAAAAATGAAAGCATTCGGTAATCTGAGGAATGATATAACTCAGCTCTCCCAAAACCCAAAATGTGTGCATACACATACTAATGGCAGCTGTCACAACTGTTACCCTAGTTATTTGACAGAAAGAATTTGGGGTGATTTAAAAGCATTTTCTGCTCGCCATTTCTCTATATTTTTGAAATTTTATATAAAGAGTATGTGTAATTTTTATAATGGGGATTAAAAACTCATTAAAAATATTACACGAATAAATATTCGTGTAATATTTAGAAAGTACCCTAAACATCTGATAAACCATAAAATTGTCAAATACTGAATTAATTTTTTTTAAAAATAGTGAGCCTATTTCTATTTTTACACATTCATGTAATTCAAACAATTCCAGGTGTGCAGGAAATGTTCTTGTCATTCAGACTCAAAACTCAGTCATGTAGTTCTAGCCTTTCCTTTACCTGTGCCCACTGACACAGTCTATTCTGCCCACCCCGTGTTTCTCAAGCCTTTATCCTTCTTTATCGTCATAGCTGCCAATGGAGCAGCAACTCTCATTAATGTCCGCCTGGACCACTCTGTCATCTGACTGGTCTCTTTATTCAATTCAGTAAGTAGTGCTAGTCTTCTCATTTTGCAGATCATAGACACACTATCAGCACGTCTTTCACCTGCCTGGAAGCTTCAGGATCTCCCTGTGCCTGTTAGAGAAAGTTGACACTCCTTAGGCTGACACAAAGGCTGCCAAGATGCAGTCCAACCGCACTTTTCAGCATTGTGTCTACTCACTCCCCAAATACTCTGTAAGTTCCAGGCACAGTCCAGCTTGGATTTCCTTGAAAGTCCCAAACAGTTGTAGCCTCTTCTTCCTCTGAACCTTCTCTCACAACAATTACCATTCCCCAGTTGAACTTTTTGGCATAATGATTAAGAATGAACTCTGGTGTCAGATGAATCTGATTCATATCCAGCCAGACAGAATGATCTTCACAGCAATCACAATGATTTTTATAAGCACACATCAGCTCCTGGCACTTCTTTGCTCAAAATCCCCTAATGGCTGTCCTTACACTGGAGTAATCCAACTCCTTGCAGTGGTGTGGGTGGCCTGCAACCATGACTCCTCTGATTTCATCTCCACTTCCTCACTCCTCAAACACTCTATGCTAATTTGCTTTTGCAGTTGCTGTTCCCTCCAGATGACTGTCACACAGCTCACTTCCTCAATTCAAATGTCACCTCCTAAGAAGGCCTACTGTGATGGATCACTTAATCCAAAGCAATTCCACTAACCCCATCAAGTGCTCTATCCCCTTATCCTGCCATCCATTTTTCTTTAGAAACTTACCATTCCCTGACAGGATATATTTTAACTCCATGGTTGGCAAATTGTGGCTCTTGAGCCACATACTGCTCTTTGGCCCCTTGAGTGTGGCTCTTCCACAAAATATCACAGCCTGGGCGGGTCTATTTTGAAGAAGTGGCATTAGAAGAAGTTTAAGTTCAAAAAAATATAGCTCTCAAAAGAAATTTCAATCATTGTGCTATTGATATTTGGCTCTGTTGACTAATGAGCTTGCTGATCACTGTTTTAACTGATCTACTGATTGTGTGCCCCCTCCACTCTAACCTACACTCCAGGAAGGCCAGAGCTGTAACTTCTTCCCCACAGTGGGTTGCAAGTTCAATTCCTGATCAGGGCACATGCCCAGGTTGCAGACTCAATGTCTGGTAGGGGGTGTGCAGAAGACAGCCAATTGATGTTTCACTTGCTCTCTCTCTTTCTAAAAAAAATAAAAACATCTTTTTCTTAAAAAAGATTTAAATGTAATTTTTTGAGCAAGAACAACTTTGTCATCTGTTGGTAAGCCTAAATTGTCCCTTCAATAGCAAAGTCCCTATCTTGAAAGTTACCTAAAGAGAACAGATTTCTCCCCAACACCTTCCTTCCCTAAAAAGAGAACAGACCCCAATGGCCAATTGAACACTTCAAAATGAATAATTTAACAAGAAAGAAGGGAGTGGTAAGGGGATTAAAAATGGATTCATTACTCCACAAAAGTCAACAAACACACCTAGATTTCCTACCTCTTTACCCTTAGCCAAGAATGTCCTTTCCACAGCCTCCCCATTTTGTTAAGAGCTCCTATGGAGATTACTCATTGCCAGAGAGCAGAGTGTAGGTGTACCTCATTGTCAATATTTATGTATAAGAGTATATATTTATATCTTTCTCAATCCCACAAAGGTTGAAAAATAAAACTCATCCATACAGATTTTTAAACATAAGTGCAATAGCTCAGTTTACTCTTTTAGCTGTACCTTGAAATTCATAGTATTTTTCATTCCAATGCGTGTATATGTAAATGTACTTTGGGGAGTGCTAGAGCCTTCCTTTAGGGAGCTCTGCCATTCCTTCAGTACTTAAGCTCCTTTCCCAGTCACACTGGAACAATCTTTTTCTGAGAAGACAGTCTCAGAGGCAGCAGGCAGGTGACCTGAATTCCCCTAAACTTTTCTTGTCCTTTGACTGGGGAGGTAGCACCACCCTTTTGCCATCACAAAATATTCCCAACAGGAAGAGTTCAAAGTTTATAAATGTTTGTATTTGAGGCATTGGGATTGTGTGTGTTTGCCAAATCTGGATACTCTCTTCTTTGCATTTGGACATCGGTAGACTTTGTTAAAAACTGCCGGAGGGGACAGGAAAATAGTGAAGGACCTCTTGCTTTAAATGAATAAAACATTGGGGAGGAGAGGAAGAAGGAAAGGCTCTGTACTATCTCAATGTCCAGAGCAAAGATGAGTGCTCTTCCCTCCAGGTGTTCCCCCACACGGAAGTCAAAGCTGGCGTGGTATCCCCAAGTAATGAATGGCCACCTCCCACCCCATGACAGAGGCTGGCACCACAGTCTTCAGTGATGAGTCATGTATGTGCCATGGAAGGGGGTTGGGAGGAAGTGAGCAAGGGAAAGGCAGAAACACCATGTTTCACCCCCGCCTGTCTGTCCACAGAACCCTCATTCCAGCTCTGTTGGCCTTGGTCCAGCTCTCAGGCTTCTGGGGTGCTGATAGGGAGATGGAGGAAGGAGAAGGCCGTAGAGACTGCTCTGAAATTTTCTGAGAGGAAGATGAAGAGTCAGTGTCACAGAAGGAGGAGATTTCAAGTGGCAGAGGCCAATGAGAAGTGTCAGGGAACTTCAAACTGGATAAGAACTGAAGACAGGCACCTGGTTTGGGGTTTAGGAGTTTCACACTGACCCTTGAGAGATTAATGTATTGTATTATCAGCTCCTGTCACTCCTTTGCTCACAATCCCCTCATGGCTGTCCTTACCGTAATCCAACTCCTTGCAGTGGTGTGGGTGGCCTGCAATTCTTTCATTTAAAACCCTATTACGCGTTTCCTCTTATGTGTTAGGGGTATTTTAATTTCTTACCTCCTGGAATGCAAAAATGGGGCTGCTTTTGTTTTTTTCACACTCAGAAATATTGCTCTCAGGTGCAATGCTGTAGTTGCCCGTTTCTTCCCATATTCTCCTGTACACGTACTGTGTCGTCAGTGGGCTGATCAAAGTCAAGGCAAAGGCACTGAGGCAAATGGCAGGCTCTACAAGGAAAATCTTCATAGTGCTTAGGTAGTAGCTGAGTTCTACAACAAAGAAGGAGAGAGATACTGAATGAGTTGCATTTTCTCTGAGGCTAGATTTTCAGTCAGTGATGGGAAAGTTGGAGGAATTTTGTTGCACAAACAAACAAACTAGGGAAAGGGACAGAAAGCAACAAGCACTTTCAAAGAGTAACTTTTATTCTGGAATAGGGTGCCTGATAGACCGGAGACTGTCTACTTCTCATTTTAAGGAGCAGAACCTTGCAGGGCTCACACGGTCTTTAAGACAATTCTTTAAAACAGTAAGCTGTCACTATTTTTGGTGACTCAGTGATCATACTGTGTCCCCCCTGGTACCCTGCCGCGGGTTTTCATTAGGAAAACAGTGAGGTTGCTCTGGGAAGTGACAGTTGCGCCACTCTTTGTTATTGTTGACAGCGGGCTGGAAAGGACACTTAGAAAACCGCTCCCAAATGAGAAGGGACTTTTTATTTTCTCTGACTCACCCCGCAGTTAGTCTTCTTGCCAGGCTCAGGGCCTGCGGCTCGGAACGGTCTCCCCTCGGGGATACTTTGCGCTCGGCCGCGCCTCCCTTGCAGCGGCTCCGGACGAGGGCCCCGGGATGCGAAGGGCAAGCTCCGTGGAATTGGACCCAACGCGCCTGCGGGGCAGCCGCGCCCTCACCTGAAAGCAAAGCTCGGAAAGCGCCCTCCGCGCCCCGCGGCGGTCCCCTGCGGTCCCCGAACCCTCCCCGCCGTCCCGCACCCTCGCCAGCGACTCCGGGAGCGCCCGGCACAGCCTGCGGGGACCCGGCGGCCGGCGCGCTGGGCCCGGCGGGGGCGCGGACTCAGCCCCGCCCGCCGGGGAGGCGGGGCCCGGGAGGGGAGGGGCGGGCCGTCACGGTCCCGCCCACACCGGCCGTTGGGCCTCCTGATTGGTCCGCCTCCGCGCCGGGTCTGGGTCTGTGCCCACTCAACTGTGCCCTCTTGGCTGGGGGCTCTGGGGCGCCCGAGGGCACACTCCCGGGCAAGACTAGGCCTGGTGTCGTTTTTCACGCAAGCACACGAGGCATCTGTTGCAAAAATAACACGTTTGCCCTGCGCCTCCCCGTAGCATTCAGTCTCCGGGCAAGGGCCTTAAGAAGTGAAGGGTTAAAGGGAATAAAACGGGGCAGAGGAAACGTACTGCGGTGAGGAGCTATCTTGCAGAGAGCGTGCAGCCTTGAACACTGCAGAGCGTAGATAACCACTAGACACCTGGCACCGGGAGGAGCCGAGGACAGACCGGACCCTTACCTCAGCAGAAGGGCTTGCAGCCAGCAAAAGTTCATAAAAACCGTCCCCTCCCTTCACTCTCCACTGACTCCTTTTTGTGGGGGTCAGCCCACCTGCACCCAGGTGTCTGGAATAAAAATCTCTTTCAATACAATATGGCCTCTTGTCTTAGGGGTGCAACCCTGGCCCACTCAACGTTTCAAGAAGAAATGCAGAAGAGGGGGCTAGGGAGGGCCCCAGGTGCAGGAGAGAGAGCGCTCCTGGCATGTTAGCCTTCATCTGAAATGCGTTGGCTGGCTCTTCCTGGGGCTATGAACTTGGGCAAATTATTTCATGTCTGTGAACCTCCATTTCTCTACCTGTCGAGTGGGGGTAACCATCTTGCAGGATTATTGTAAGGTAACGCTCCACAAGTGCACGCACGCAGTTCTGGGGCCCACCGGGACCACACTTAACTGACCGAGTTGGGTTTCTTAAATCTGGTAGCTTGTAGCGAGGAGGAATGCATTCATGGGGAACCATGGAGTATCACAGTATAAAACGTTTAACATTTTTGGAGTTTATGTTTTGTGATTTTAAGAATAGTTCAAGAAAACAAAACCTGCACAGGATGGGGTACTATTAGGACGTGGGATAATTCTGTTACTGGGTGCCTTAATAAATCTTATTTAGAAGGAGTGAAGACCCATCGCAGGCAAAGCCATCACTGATAAAGAAGCAGCGGTCATAGCCATTTTGTGTCAATCTTGTGGTTAAGACAATGTTCAGGTTCTGCCTATGTTCAGAGAAGATTTTGGAGTGGTCTTGCTTTTGTCTGAATCAAGGTTGTAAAATGGCCTTTTCTGATGTTAGTAATCTATTAAATTGTTTTTGTTCTACAGAACACCATGGTGATAGTCCAAAAGAGCTCTTAGCATCACCCAGTTCAGCACCTGGATGTCACAGCTGCTTTCTCTTCCTCCACACTCAGTAAATAACAGCTAAGTCTTAGATTTGAGTCCTGATCACTATTTGCCAGCTTGTAACTTTGGAATTGTCACTTAACACACTTCTCAGTTTCTTCAAATGAGTATTTATAAAGTACTTACTATGAAACCAAGGAGCATGGATATTGGAAAGAAAGTATACAATTATGAAGATACAGTTTCCTGCATATTCAAATTAGAATGGGTCAATGAGAGCATCTAACTCTAACCAGGAAGACTTGGTCTGGAAGAAATAGGTGCAGGTCTGACTAGCCCCCAGAACACAAGGAAGAATAAATGACATAATCTACACCAAAATGTTTCTGAGAATTGTAAGACACTGTATCCCTAAAATAACCTGGGTTATTGCTAGCTGAACGCACTTTCTAAATGTCTTGGCCAGCTTAAACCCTTTTGTCAATTCTCTTCACTGTACAATGACCACTTCAGGGGCTTGATCTCTGTAGAAATAAAGAAGATCAACATCATGCCCCAAACCTCAATACCCTAAAACAGCAAAGGTTTATTTATCTCTTGAGCTACCTGTCTATGGTCATGGGGGGTTTACTATCTTTCACTTTCACTCATGAATGCAGACTAGTGGAGCCATCATCTGAATATTATTGCTGGCATGGGGGCAGGGAGAGGAGAATGTGGTGGATGTGACACCAGCTTTTAAAGGTTTCTCTAGAAATAATAAATGCCACTTCTGCTCACATTTGATTGGCCACACGGTGAGTCACAGGACCACGTGGAGAAGCTCAATCCTATCAGTTGCTCAGGCAGAAAAGAAAATATCAGTAAATAGCTTTAATGACTTCCTTGTCCCCAGACCAGGACTTCCCATGAAAGTCCATAGAAATATGAGAGCGTTAGAAGGTGTTCTTTCTTATGGGCAGTAAGAACTAGTATCTGATATACTTCCAGGCTTTGCTGTGCCTACTCTTCCTCAAGAAGAAAGCCAGGCCTCCTCAATTTATTTCAATGCCTATTTTCGTGGTGATAGCAATTGTTATGCAAGCCTTCCCCATTCTCCCCCCCACCACCCCCCAAATATATATATATATATATATATATATATATATATATATATATATATATATATATATATACTGCTTGAGTATGTATTAAATAAAAGAAGACTTAACCAACTGTCAGCTGGAATCTGTCATTGTTCTGGGCAATATAGATGAAACAAAAGTTAATACCCCATAGTTAATTATCAGGTAAATTTCCACTTATATGGTAAGAAAAATGGGAACATATGAAAGGAGTAAAAATGATTCTAAAAGCAGGTCTTTGGAACTCATCACAGACCAGTAACTATCACTGACTAATGTTACTCCTTGAAGGCTAGCAATTAAGCCTTCTTTTTTCAAAGACTCTGAAATAAAAAATAAAATCTAGGCATGAAAGAAGGAGTGGCTGTCCCCTGGACTCAGTCTTCCTTGGCAATGTTTCTGAAACATGGGTCAACAAAGTGCAATCTCCAGGGCAAGCTCTACAGGAGGATTGTGACATTTTATGTTTTCAGTTCAATGACCTAGAAGTGTTAACATAAGCATTTTCTGAATTGCCCTTTAATCAAGATGACACTTGATTTCACTGCCTATATTTGCATTTTTTTTTTTAAATAAGTTTTTATTGTTCATATTATTACAAATGTTCCTCCCCCCCCCCCCACTATTGCTCTCCTCCACCAGGTTCCCACCGCACCCTCTGCCCTTTCCCCACTCCCCATTGTCCTCATCCATAGGTGCACAGTTTATGTTCAGTCTCTTCCCACACCCCCCTCTCCCCTTTTCCCCAAGAATCGTCAGTTCACTCCCCTTCCATACCTCTGATTCTATTATATTCAACAGTTACTATTGTTCATCAGATTTTTTTTTTAATTTCCTTGGTTTTTAGATTCACTTGTTGATAGTTACGTATTTGTTGTTCATAATTTTTATCTTTGTTTACTTTCTCTTCTGAAAGAACTCCCTTCAGCAACTCATATAAGTCTGGTTTGGTGTTGATGAACTCCTTTAGCTTTTTTTTATTAGTGAAGCTCTTTATCTGACCTTCGATTCTGAGTGATAGCTTTGCTGGATAGATTATCTTTGGCTGTAGGTTCTTACTATTCATCACCTTGAATATTTCTTGCCATTCCCGTCTGGCCTGCATGGTTTCTGTTGAGAAGTCAGCTGACAATCGTATAGGTGATCCTTTATAGGTAACTACCTTCTTTGCTCTTGCTTCTTTTAATATTCTCTCTTTGTCTTTTGCTCTTGGAATTTTAATTATGATTTGTCTTGGTGTGGTCCTCTTTGGATTCCTTTTGTTTGGAGTTCTGTGCGCTTCCTGGACTTGTAAGTCTAATTCTTTCCCCAGGTGGGGGAAGTTTTCTGTCACTATTTCTTTCAGTATGTTTTCGATATCTTGCTCTCTCTCATCTTCTGGGACCCCCATAATTCTGATGTTGGTTCGCTTGAAGTTGTCCCAGAGGTTTCTTACATTATCTTCAATTTTCTAGATTTTCTTGCCTTCTAGCTTCTGAGAAGTGTCTTCTGGCTCTTTATGTTCCAAATCTTTGACTTGATTCTTGCAATCTTCCCTTCTGTTTTTAGGACTCTGTAAAATATTTTTTATTTCAGACAATGTATTCTTTATTTCTTGTTGTTCCCTTATCATTTCTTGTTGACTCCTTATTAATTCTAGTTGATTTCTTTTCATATCCTCATAGGTCTTATCCATCTTTTCTAGGAAATTCTTGAAAAACCTTATAAGCGTAGATTTGA